GAAGAGTATTTCTGTCACTTGGTGTCATTGAACTGTTGCCTGACAGCAGCAAGCAAAGTCAAATGCAAGAAGCAGAGACAGCGTTTTGCATGCCGAGATACTAAAAGGACATCTTAGTAAACTGAATTAATCCTGTAAATAAATCTTATTTATTTCTCCATTTACTTGTTATTATAGCCATAGACTCAATAAATAAATAAAATAAATAAATAAATAAATAGGACAGCTGAAAAGATGGTATAATTAAATTGCAGAAGTAAACAACCAAGCTTTATGAACAGCATACATTTCACAGCTCAGATGTTGTTTGTCAATCAAGCCCAGAAATATCTAGAAAAAATTATCACAAACAAGCCTGTGTATACAGAGATTAATAAAAGAAGCAAAAACAAAACAATTGGGTAACAATCGACCTAACTGTAGGTCATCACCACACCTTATATGATCTATTGCTATAGCTAAAAATAACCATTCGTTTTAATACAAGGCTCTTCAAACTTAGCAAGTTTAAGACTTGTGGACTTCAACTCCCAGAATTCCTGAGCTAACATGACTGGAGGAAGAATTCTGGGAGTTGAAGTCCACAAGCCTTAAAGCTGTCAAGTTTGAAGACCCCTGTTTAATAGATTTGTCTCACAGTAATTGTAATCGCTAACTTAAGGTGACAACTTAGTGGCAAGCTACTCAGTAAAATTGAGAGGCCAGAAAAAAACAGAGTTACATAACTTGCATTAAGTTTTATTCTTACACCTTATCAAAATAAGCAAAGAAAATGCGTACAAGGAGATAACATTTTAATAGATTGGATTGTACTGTATGTTTGAAAATCTAGTTTTCTTCCACAGCTAGTATATAGTAAAAATTTACTACAGAACAAACTTGACAGAAAAAATACCAGGACTTATCACAAATAAATCTATTCTAGTGAATAAACTCTACCACCCTCTTCTCCACTGTGAAGCCTTTTCATCTCAAGGGATCATTACCCCACAGTCCCTTCTATTCATATTGCCTAAGATACATTTAGGGTTTCTTCTTGGACTCAGTTGTGAAACGCACCAATGACAAAGAATATTATTTCATAGAAAAAGCCCACAAATTCTATAAAGATCTCTTAGAGATCTATAGTTCCTCTTTCACAGTAGTACCTACGGGTCACAGGTCCCATTTGAAATAAAGGAGCTAGTCACTTGCAACAGGTTGCTTATCAAACAATAAAGGATTAGACATTGAAACAAAATCAGAGATAAATTATGTTTTCCTACTTTTCTCAGGCAAAATTCCTAATAAAATCAGCCCCCAAATGAATACTTCATGTGCACAACTTTCACTATATTATTGGCTATTATTAAGAAGCAATATGAATTTTGAATAGAATACAATGACCAGCTTGAAAAAGGACATAAATTAGAGCTCTGAAATATTTAGAAACTAGCAGGAGAGAATTTCAATATTCAATATGTTTATTAACCTTAAACAATCATAAATACAGTAAATGAAGAATTTCAAAAGTAAATGTTAATATGAAACAGCTGAACTACAAAAGTAGTTCATTTGTGTGGATTTGTCATGAATCAGACTAGGGGTTTTATCAGACTAATCTTAATTAATTTACAGATTCATTATTTTTGTTCTGATTAGAAATTCTTTGTAAATTATGATAATTTAACAAATGTTGAATATCTGTCAATTGGTGCATTTTGCATTTCACTTCCTTTGATTTTACTGCCTTCAAATCTTTCCCCACATACAAAAAACCCACATACCATCGCTATGTGTATAAAAAGTATCTATTATCTTTCAGGAACCAAATGAAAAAGTTTCATGACATGATAAATTTGTTAAACCTTTAAAATGCCCCCAGACCTCTCTTGATTTTATTAATCAACCATGTAAAGGTACCGGTATGTGGATATGAACTTGGAAGACTGAGCAAAGGGTTGGTGCCAAGGGAACCATCAGATAACAGGAAGCATAGCCCACAGCCAGATAATGGGCAGGGCAATAGGTTCAGAAGAGACTCTGTTTCTTGAGAAGAAAAGAAATGGAAGAGGGGGGAATGTACATTCAGATTTGCTAGGTTCTGTCAATGTAGCTTACAATAAAATAAATTAGCTCATCTAGTTGTATTTCCTGTCTGGTTTGCTTCACAAGATTGACAACCACATACAATGTATTTACAAAACTATTTGTGCAGTGCAGTGCAAGGCTTTGATGTTGTGCTTTGATAAAATCAGTGCACTGAAGTAGATCTGTGAACTTGTGTGGGGGCCTATTTTAAAATAGCGAATTGAATCAGATAGTTTGAAAGCACTTTTGTAGCTTTTCAAAATCCTTCTTGGTTTTTGTTGATTTTCTACTGCTTCTGGAGTTGTTTTACTAAATACTATATAAAATTGCAGCATCTGTTCCATATATGGGAAGATGATATGATCTATAAGATTGACATGAATAATCAATCAGTAGAATACCTTATTAAACTACCAACCTATCAAAGCTATTTATAAGTAACCATCAACAGTAAGGAACAAGAAGTCAAGGCTACTACTCAATAGAGCAGCAATGAAGGCCTTGGAAAAGATATTCAAGTGTTGTGATGTGTCTATACCTACAAAGATCAAAATAGTGCAAGGATTGGTGTTCTCTGTGATTATCTAAGAAAGCAAAAGTTGGACCTCTGAAAGAATAGGACATTGACAGTTTTGAACTATGGTGTTGGAGAAAACTCCTAAGAATACCACAGACAGCCAAGGAAACAAACTAATAGGTCATTGAACAAATCAGCCCAGTCCTCTCTCAGGGCTCAAACTACCAGGGTAATATTATCCTACATTGGATATATTATGTGAAGACCTAGCTCAAATGTTGGAATTCCAGGAAGGAAATGGCAAATTGAAGATGGCTTGGGTAAAAGCAGGTAGACTGAGTCTTCATAATTCCTCTTGCCCACAATTAGAGCTCTGGAGATGACGGAATAGTTATATTGCTGAAACCATGATTGTCACCTTCGAAAGGACACTGGGTTTGCATTCTTCCTTTTCTAATAAATTTCAGAAATTAATTAACTGCTTTTCGATTATTAGGAACCTTAGGAAAATGTTTTTGGTTTGAATTCTTAAAAAAAAGGATAGGATGACTCTTTGAAGTTTGGACGCTAGAGGGAACTAGAAGGAACTAAATATTATTATTAAAGTAGAAAAGAACAAATCTGACAGAGTGGAGCAAACTATTTTAACATTGGATTTAATTAAAGATATTTTTGAACAATGGACTCAATACTTAATTTTAAAAATGTCTGCTTCTAGAAAAGGGGAGAGAGGAGTGCAGGATACAAAAGAAAAAAGGGAGAAAAGAAAAAAGTGTCCCCTCTTTTGTCATCTTCATTTTCATTGTATTTTATGCTGTAATAAACCTCAATAAAATTTTAAAACAACAAAAAATAACATTTAAAAGATTGTATGTAAGAAGAACAAGTTTTACCAGACAAACACTGATATTGATTTGAAAGTGGATTTAAAAATGACATGCTGCAAAAATGATATAGAAAAAGATGCTACACAAAAGAAACTGACTTATGTTTTAATAATTAAAAAGGATATACAAATAACAAGCCAAGAGAATGACATGGATTATTTTTTTCTGGATTTACAAAAGGGGCTTGTTAGAGCTTTAAAAAAATTGTGACAGGGAAAAAAATGGAAAGAACTCAAATTCAACATTATTTCAAGGATCTAAAGTGAAAGTAAAAAGGAAGGGATATAAAGTTGGTTTATTTGATCAAGGTTAAAAAAGCTTTGCTGTTGTCTCCAACACCAATGGGTTTTTGCTGATAGAGCCTGAGATGCTGAAGTTTTGTTTATAAGTAAGACATTGAAATTTGGGAAGAAGACAGCAATTGTTGTATTTTAAGAGAAGGTCATAAGTTACTAATTTTTTTATACTTGTTGTGATAAAAAGGGGGTCATTTGTCTATGTATTTTGGGTTTTTTTTATAGTTATTTTTTCTTTGCAATATTTTTCTTTTTTGTGTTTTTTTCCATGTTGCAATAATCCAAGCAGAAGATAGCCAGAGCATGACAAACTGAACTCAGAAAATCTTGCTGATTGATAGTTAATAGTAAAAAGCAGAAGCTGTACACTATTTCAGAATCTCTCTGTTGATTCTAAGGCTGGTTATTTACCTTCTTTATATTTAATTGTAATCTCATTTTTGTTACTGTGTGCTTTAGGACTGGAGCATGCAGATCATTTGCATGTTTAGCTATTACTGTTATGGCTTAACACTTATTATACTTAACACTTATTCTTCTGTTAGCTAAGTCTAACAGCTATTTGTTCAATATTAAACTTTTTAACTCAGTTTATTAAATACATAAATTATTCTATACTTGTTGAACACATAATTTTCTAAGAATTGTATATAAAATATTTGATTTATTCTAAATAAAAAAGCTCGTTCTATTTTTATATGGAACCATAAATTCTGTAATTCAGCTATAACTTTTTTGATTCTTGTGTCATAGGATTTATCCATTGTTCTCTTTTTAAAAGATATTTCCAAACTATATCATTAATCTTTTTATATGAATTTTGAAATTATACATTGTATGTTTTCCTTCTTTATATCTTTTCTTTTTTCTTTTTAAATACTTTGCAAAATATCTCAGTTCTATTGGCCTGCTACTTTAAGACAAAATAGCTTTGCTTCTTTGTGAGGATGGAACAAACATATTTTGCAAGTATAGATTTCAGCAGACTATTTTATAGATTATTTATGACTAAGTTATTATACACGTATCAGAGTCCATTCTGGATTCAACATGCCTGTGTCGTATTTCCTTACAAATTCAAACAGACATTAGATAGTTTATAATGTTGATTAAGGTTTGCATATCCTCCTGTTCTAACTAACTAAAATCCAAAGAAATGAAGGTCTTTGTTTTAACAGCCATGGTGATGACTAACCTATTTATCAGTTAGTACTTCCTGTGTTACCCATCTAGGTTTTGCATAAGGGAAACAACAAATCATACTATAGAGATAGCACACTTAACAGTTTAAATATTCTTTGTTCCACAGTTCAGTAGAGAACAGGTTATATTTTTAGCTGACTCTTAAGAATTAATCTGCAAACAGTTTTATACATAAATGGAATTTCAATTTTTTCATGGAAATATAACTAAAGAAAAGTGTGAAGAATTATTGAGCAAAGTAGGAATAAATGGAAGCTTTTTACTACGAGACAGTGAGAGCGTACCTGGTGCTCTTTGCCTGTGTGTTTTGTAAGTACTTCCACTTTTATATAATTAAAATAACTTCTTTTTATTGTTAAAGGAAATGATTCTATTAGAAGAAATGCACATGTTTAATTGAATCTGGTATTGTATAAAGACACTTAAACATGACTAATGTTTTATGGACTGAGTTGCATTTTTAAATACTTGCACTTTTGAGAACCAACTACCATCTGTTTTCAGAAAGTGAGGAAATTGTTCCAGGCACATATATCTAGTGGGAGTATACATAATACTTATTCTGCTTTATCATAAACCGCAGTGTATATCTACCCCAAAGTTAAATATAGAAATAAACATATCATAAAATTATATGCTGTTTTTGGAGGTGATACATTTCAAATCATTACAAATTCAAGATATATCCTTATAACACACTTTGAATCAGGATATTTTTATCCACCAGCTCTCACCAGCTCTTCTCCAAATGATGTATGGTATAGAAACAGATATGTAGGATAATATACATAGCATACATGAAAGCCAGTTCTCATGTACGAATTCAATTGGTTGTGTAATGGCAATTGTCATTGCTACTGAGCTTAAAGGCAATTTGTATTTATAAAAATTATTTAGAGGCAAGTATACGTACTTATTCCATACTGATTTGTCAACCAAATATAATTCTTTTAACTTGTCTATATCTCTGTCTGTCTGTCTGTCTGTCTAATTTTTTTCTCCCCCAGAACAGATTTTTACATGCTCTGAAGAGGTTAATTTGTATATTTGTTCAGAATTTTCACATCACAAAAAAGTTCCTATTTATTTAGCTGATACCTATTTCTAGAAAACTAAAACTTAATTAAGTTACAGTTGTGTTTGCCTGTGACAAATTTATACATTTTGTGCATATTTCTTTTTATGGTTATCAGTTTTAAGCGTATGATTCTTCAGTGTATTTTACTTTCCCAGTACCCAAACATACCCTTCACTAATACACTTTCCATTCTAAAAATTAGTTATGAACATCTTATCTACACTTACCGAATCTTCAGGAAAAGAAATGGACATTTTATGATGCAGGTAAGAAAATGTATAATCTATTCTTTATTCCTTAAATGTAAAGAAATATAATTTTAATAGACTCCTACAAGACTTTCATGCAATTTTACCAGTTGGAAGGAGGAGAGGCATGTTAAACTAGAATGTGCGTAGATTACCTCATTTTTCTAACTTCATGCATTTTAAATTGTGATGAATAATATTGTTTAATTCTGATTCTGTATTAATATAAAAAGATGCTAGAGGTCATAGTTTGGGAGTATTTTAAAGACATGCTACATTAGATATAATAATATATGAAATGAATCTATTTCTGTCATTACTTATCTTTTGGATATGAAATAAATTATTAATATGTTTTTGAATTAAATGTAAATTTAGCTTCAATGTGCTTATGTTTTAGACATCTGAAGGTACTCCAAGACATGTCTTCAGAACATTAAACTGTTTAATTGACAACTACAAAAAGCCAAATCAAGGCCTAGTCATCAATCTGTGCTACCCTGTAAATCGTTGTCCTTACTATCAAGAAACTCAGACAGTGTATGTCACTAAAGAAGAAGCATATGAGGATCCTGGTAAGAGATAAATAATTATAAAGGTGGTAAAATATTTATATATTTTAAATTAAGAAACTATCAGCATAGATTACTAAAGCTTGCCTTTATGAATGAGAAAGAGGGAGAGGGAAGGGGAGAGGGAGGAAGGGAGGGAGGGTGGGAGAAAGAAAGAAAGAAAGAAAGAAAGAAAGAAAGAAAGAAAGAAAGATTCTAATCTACCTAGAGGAATCCTTTACAGGATTGTTATTAAAAATACGGGCAATTCTTTTCTTAGGTGCAGTGATAACGCATATGCAGTATTTTTAAAAGCATTGTGGGATTGGAAGTAGCTGTAACTATTACTGTCCAGAACTAACATCATTTTAGGAAAGTATTGGCTGTGGATTTGGGTTTTCAGATTACTGTCATATCAGTCACATACTAGATCTGGTGTGATAGAATGCATGGTTCTTCCTTTGCATGAACCAATGAGATATGATACTTTTTGCCCAGACCTAACTTTCAGAGAAGATCAGAGTCTCTTCACAGCCATAGCAGAAATGCCTATCTTGTTATCAATAGAATTTCGGCATATAAATTAGCAGTATTGGCCAAAATCAATAGTGGGTCCAGAGCTTGCTTCTGCTTGTAACAATAGCATTCCCTGAATGGAATTCTAGTCAGAAAACTCTCATTGAATAACTATCAATATTTCGTTCTCCTTGCAGTGCAAAACACCTGCACACTGTTCCCTTGTCAAAATAGAATTTATTTAGAGGGAGCCCATGAAATTTAGGCAGATTGGTAAATTAGTAAATATTAATTGCTTTCAGATTTACCAGTAAAATTAATTCATAAACTGGATACTTATTTTTTTCAATTTCTATAATCACTCAACTCAATCAAGTGACTCTGAGTAGCTTACAATTCTAAAAGTATAAAACAATTAAAATAATAAAAGAAACATTAAAACAATAAGAACATCCACAAGATAAGTACAACCGTAACTGATATAATTAATTTACTAATAGTAAAGCCAAATAACCAGGACCCATTCCAGGTCTGGATAATATAGCCAAGATATTAAAGCTTTGCAAAAGGCCAAAATGGTTGAGCCTATTCTAATCTCTGAGAAGAGAATATTCCATAACACAAGAACTATAGTAGAAAAAGTCCTGTCTTATAGTTCTTGCCAGTCTCCCATCTCCTTGGCTGATGGGATCTCCCATCTCCCATCTCCTTGGCTGATGGGATCTGCAGCATTCCCAATTTATTTAGTTGAGTTGGATGAGTAGAAAGTCTTGGAAAAGGACAGTCCTTTGGGTAACCTATACAAGCCATGTAGGGCTTTAAAAATGACAACCAGTACCTTGAATTGCACCTAGAAATACGCCAGCAGCCAGTGCAGCTCATGGAGTAGTGATTTTACACGTGCCACATAGATGGCACATTTATTACCCATGCAGCTACATTTTGCACTAGTTTAAGTTTCAAATGCTCTTCAAAGATAGCCCCATGTAAAGCATGTTACAGTAATCTAAGCAGGAGGTTACAAAGACATGAGTGATGGTGAGCAGGACTCCTACTCCAGGAATGGGTGCAACTGACATAGTACCCAAAGGTGTTCAAAAGCTCTCATAGCCACAGCTGCTATATCTTGTTTGGATAGAAAAAATCTTCACTCTGAAGGAAGAACCAGTTTAGATTCAGTCTAAAAAGTCAGCAGTGGCTCCTCTCTGGATCATGTGAACTAATGTGAGCCGACAACATTTTAAGCAAGTACACAACTGTCTCCTATTAAATGGCCAACATGCGAGGTTGTTAAACTCACCATTTCAAGTACCACCTAAGGGCCACCCTGTTAGGTTATTGAATGGTTGTGATTATTGTGATCCTGCTGGTTGGACATGCTTAGTGGAGCAGTGGTGGTGGGGGGACAATAAAACTACGGACAATCATCAATCCCTCTTCTTAACTTGTTCCGCATTAAAACAATAAAGACAGGGCCAGCTGTTAACCTCATTACTAACTGCTTGGCAAATAAGGCAGCAAATTTTGTGCCCGCATACTTTTCTCCCGCTGAAGGACTGATGAGAATACTTTAACATCTGACTATGCCCTGTAGGTCAAGGGTCACACACATCCTTTGCATTCTCAAGGTCAACCCTAGATAAAAGATATGGCTGGTCTTTGACTTCAAACCATTCATTTAGCAAACATCAAGTTACAATGGCACTGAAAAAAGTGACTTATGACCATTGCAGCACCCTCTAGTCACATGATCATATGCAAGTGGCATCATTTATGACACTTTCATTAGCATAGGGTCATGTGATTGCTTTGAAACAAGATGCCGGCAAACAAACAAACAAATAAATAAATAAATAGCACTTTGTAACCTTTCCAGGCAAAAAAAAGTCAATGGGTAAAGCCAGATTTGCTTACTGACCACAATTCACTTAATGACTGCAGTGATTTCACTTAACAATCATGGCAACATTGTCATAAAATCAAGCATATGCATTTGCTGCAGTGGCTCACCTAACAGCTAATGGAAAAACTGGTCTCAACTAAGTCAGGGTCTACCTGCATAAAAGCATAGCAACTATAGCACTTAGACTTATATAGTGCTTCATGGTGCTTTACAACCCTCTTTAAGTGGTTTACAAAGCCAGCATATTGCCCCCAACAATCTGGGTCCTCAATTTACCAACCTCAGAAAAATGGAAGACTCAGTCAACCATATTTTTATTTATATTGTCCTATTTTGTTGGTGGTGGTTTTGACTTTTTGAGTTGTGTTTGTATTTTATACTCTGCCATACTGTGAGTCATCAGAATAATTTTGGAGTTAGGCAGTATGTAAACAGGTCAAATTTAAATTCACATTGTTATAATCTCATTCATCTTTACAGTGGAAAAAAAGTTCCTTTTATGTCAGTTTCAAAATAAAAAAGCGAAGCAAGTACAATATGCATAGTGGGTGTATGCAAATTCTTTTAAAAAACAGCTTTGCTTTGGTTTTACTAAAACGTCAATTCCCCTCCAGAGTGTGAAAAGGACTCTATATCTCAGTGTCACATTGGAGTGATATTACATTGGAACTGACTGCTGAATGAAGTACAGTAAATTCCTGCCAAAGTGAACTGCCCTCTGACTTTTGATTGGAAGTGTTGCTTTTCTATATTGAGGCACTACAACTGAAGTAGACAGCATCCTACAAAGTGAAATAGTTATACATATCTCTATAAGACTGGGGGGAAATAAAAGGAGATGTTGGAGATATTGGGATAGAAGTTATTTGCTATGGAGGGATGATAAAACATGCCATAGATACAAGCCTTTTAAGATTTTGACTTGAGCTACATTTAACACTGAAAACATAATTGAACCAGAATTTAAAGGAGCAAAAGTAGGAATAGATCAGAGGTGGTATTCAGCAGGTTCTGACCAGTTCTGGAGAACCGGTAGCGGAAATTTTGAGTAGTTTGGAGAACTGGCAAATACCACCTCTAACTGGCCCCGTCCCCATCCATTCTCGGCCTCCCGAATCCCAGCTGATTGGCTGGATCATCTTTTGTTGCCCTGCACAGGAGAACAGAGATGGAAACGTGGTTAGTGGGGTGGGGAGGGAATGGATTTTGCAGTATCCTTTACCTGGAGTGGGGTGGGAATGGTGATTTTACAATATCCTTCCCCTGCCATGCCCATCAAGCCACACCATGCCCACTAAGCCATGCCCACAGAGCCAGTAGTAAAAAAAATTGAATCCCAACACTGGAATAGATGTGTGAGGTAAAAAAAAAATCATTTTACATCTTTGCTAGATTTCTGCTCTGCATTCAGGTTTCTGCCCTCTTGGATTGTATATTGTAAGGTAGTCATGTAATAGATAGAATCCTCATTTGACTGAGTCTTATGCAGTAAATTATCTTTCTACTGTGTTTAAATCAACATTATTTAAGCAGCACATTGTGAATATGAATGATACTGATAACTTTTTGCACTGAAATTTAGAGAAATGTAATAATTTTTTTCTTATCCTCTCTCCAGATGCTTGTGAAGATTACATTAACGTCTTGCCTGATTAATCTGTTCACTCCATTTCAGCATGGGCATTCTGTGGATCACAACTGTGCAAACTCTTCTATTCACTTCACTGGATTCTATGTTCATTTGTACTTTGGATAATTCTGTGACAAATACCAATTTTTACTTGCTGGCTGGCTTGTTTGTGTAAAAAGGCACATTTTATAAAATGCATACATACTTGTATAATCTTCTTTCCATGTACCAAGTACATACATGTGTCTCTGTAAATGGTCACTTTATGACCTGATGAAGTGGACATCTGAAAAGCTTATACCACAAAAATGTGATAGCTTTTTCCATATTGTAATATCTCATTGTATTTTCATTTTAAGTTTTCCTTTATTTGCACTATTTAACTTACTATATTTGAGAGGCAAGGATCTTTGATGTTTATAAATTTTTAAATTATTTTAGTTAGTAATATTCAATATCATTGCTATAAGTAACACTTACAAAACAGACATATATTTAAATCTCATGGAGTATAGGTTTTAAGATCACAGTAATAAACATAAGAATCCTAAGAAAGTTTATATGGCTGATCAAGTAGCTGTGCAAGATTTGGTTAAGTAGCATAAGCACTGACAGTAATTACCAATTATTAAGTTAAGAAAGCCAAATGCTTCACTTATCATGCCACATCATGTCCATGCAAGAGGCAAAGTTTGGAAAGATCAATTACCTTAATAGCTTATGCCCTCTCAGAAAACTTTTTATTTACTAAAATTGTATTTTTAAAGATTACATGTGCTTCAGGGTTAAATTGTGGGTCTTTAGTCTTCTTTGATTTTATTTCTGCATATATATTTCTGCATAAAAGAAACCTGCAAACTCTGCTCCTCCATGCCATGGGTGTCAAACTCACGGTGTCACGTTGCCTTCACATAACGTTTCACATTGTTTTTCCCTTCACTGGGGTGGATGTGGCCTGCACGTGACACATCCGGCCCTTGGGCCACCAGTTTGACACCCCTGCTCCATGCAACGATGATGTCACCTAGCCTGTAAATGAAATGTCTGCAGGAAGAAAAGGAAACTCAAGAAGATACCAAGAAGCCAACAATTGTTTGAACTACATAATTTTATTTGGGTGAAGTGTCACTATACAAGGAAAGATACAATTGCATATAGTTTTTCTTGATGGTATTTTACAATGGAATTTTACATATTGATCAATTGTTGCAGGTAGCATGCAGTATGAATTCAAGGAACTCTTATAAAATGCTTTCTTTTTAGTTTATATATGAAAAATAGAATGCATAACATCTAGCGCTTTAAATAAGCTGCATTTTAGAAAAGAAAAACATCATTAAAATGTTTGATTAGTTCCACTAATTCATTTTCTTGTTAAAGTAAAGCTATTACAGAGTTTCGTCATCCCCCCCCCCTTTTAGTAAAAACATTGGCATGTTACTAATATTTAAAAAAGTACTAGAATGCAAAAAAGGGACAGTATGCCAGAGAAATGAGTTTAAATTTGAAAAATTATATACATCCTTTTAACTTAAAATTACATTATTAAACTAGACATAGTTCTAACTTTTTAAAAAGTTACCAAAGTATGAATAAAATCACTGTATCCTCACAGTACATTATTTGAAATTGAAGTAAAATGGTTTTTAGCTGAGCCTTATAGATGTCTACATTTTTTATATAATTTCATGCAAGCCTTTTTTTAGTTACCATCTTCTTTTTTCTGCTAATAACTTTTACACTTTTAAATTATATTGTACTCAAGTGTTCTTTTCATTTTATCCATGTTAATGTGCTATAATCTATCCTGTGAATTGAAATATCTTGATCAACTGTGAAGAATACATCTCTATAAAAAATAAATGAAGTATTTTTCCAGATAACATGTTTGTTTGTGCAATTTTTCTTTAGAGAAATGAAATAGTGTTAGGAACACAAATGAAATAGTGTTAGCAACACTAACACTAATGATAGAAAATCAATGAGAATGTCAGTTTCCAAATTTTTTCATGAAGAAATGCTACTCATTTTAGTTTTGGGGATTGGGGGTGAAGCCATTTCAAGAATCAAGAATTTGGAAAGGACCTCAAAAGTCACTTAGTCCAATTCCAGAATATCCAGTGCTGTGTTGTTTAACAAGTACTAATGTCAACTCATAAAACATTTTGTATACACATTTTATAGTTGACAACAGAAAGAAGGGGGGGGGGAGTTTTAAAGAGCAGGCGGCAGTGTGGAATCGAAAGTACATTCCATTCGAACACTGATTAGATGACTGAAGCTTCTGCCGTGCAAAAATCTAATTGGAGAACATGATTAATGACTCCTGGCTATGGATGTTTTTCATTGGATGATATACCCAGAGGGTTGATGGAAAAAGCAGGATCAAGGGTGATAGTGAATTACGTATCTCAGAGTTGGCTATGGCCAGGTAAATGCTGAACATAGAATGTTACCTTCAAATAAATTTTTTTTAGTTTTGGGAGTGTGGCTCAAGGCTCATGATTTAATTGGAGTAACTGCTGGAATCCTGACAACTACTTTGGCTTTAAGAACTCTCTTATCAGTTTATACTATCAAGAAGTTACTCCTGATGTTAATTTTGAATTATTTTTCTTAGAAGTACAATCCATTGCTTCAAATCTTAAAACTCTGGAGCAGTATAAAACAAAATAATGTATTTTAGCATATCTCATAATATCCGATCTGTTTTCTTGTGTGGAATAAATGTTTGAATCTTTTCTCATGAGAGTTGATCCCTAAGCCTCTTACCCTCCTTCACCTAAAATGCAATAGAACATATGCTATTGTTATATCACTTCCATTTCAAACAGCTAGTGATCTATGATGATGATAACATTTAGCTGGGTATATTTTTGATTGTTTTTAATTTATTTTGATTGCTTTTCAATTTAAGTTTTATGTATATAAAGACAGAAGCCTGTGGAAAATAATTATCATTTCCATTACACAGTATTTAACACTTTCATATTGGTTGATTTTATCAGCCAGGACATAAGGTTTGTAAATTATGTCACAGGAAATAACAGCAGAAACATTTGCCTCTTTATTTGATAAAAAAATGTCAATGTAGGACCAAAGTTACTATGTCTGCAAGTAAACCTAAGGTTTTTCTAAAATAACAAATATTTTGTAACCATCACTAAGATATACCACACATCTAGAACTGCCCAGAGCAGATATTATCTTCAACTTACCACTTATTTGTGAGGTGGACTTCAATTAACTCATCATATAATCTATTTGTTCAGGAATTACTCTTAGATGAGACAGAGAATTCATATGAAAAAATGACCTCTGTTGTTTTAACATGGCCACAAATGGGAAGGATATAAAGTGGGTTAGCAAGCCCCTCTTCCAAATCTGTCTAAATAATGGTAACAATGATCCTGTTATCATGGATTACTAATATTTCATTCTCATATAGAAAAAAAATGAAGGCAGACATGGAGTTGAAGTCTGAGAGGATAAAAATATTACAACCACATGACAGATCCAGACATTCTGTCATATCTTGCTAGAACAAAAAGTTGTGTCAATTGATGCAGTGAGAGGATAGCTAGATCTTTCAAAGTCTGCAAACAGTCTGAATGGCAAAATATCAGCATTCAAAAATTCCTAGGTTGAAAAAGACTGCTCAAAGTGGGAACAAAAATACTTCCTTATACTACAGATATGACAAGCAACTAGAAAACAATGGAGAGGGGGAAAAGAGGGGACAAAACAGCAAGACTACTGGAGTGGTTTGCAATGTCATCAGTAAACAGTAGGCTATCTAAAACTTAGTTCAGCGTGTGACACTTGATAAAGAGTTGTTAGCCAGTGTATTCCATTTCCCAACTATGAGTATTATTTCATCATTATAAAGATATGTACGCACAAACACACACAAATCTTTGTTGATTTATTTTATAACATTAAGAACACTGATTTTGACACATTACATACAGAGGCACTGACCATATCTGATACATAATTTTGCTAAAAATAACAGATCATTTTTAGTTTGGGAGTCTTAAGGAAATGAATTAGCAAAATAATTGTAGCTTCCTAGTCTGCCACACAAACTCAATATCCTTGCCCATGTTGTTTTATTCTAGCTAGCTAACCACAACTGGATGGAATCAGAAAATTGTGAATACATTTTTACAAGATGGTGTGATCTCAAATTAACAATAGCAATAATATAGTAGATGATGTAAACTGATTCTAAACTTTGGCAAGAAACCCTGAAACCTTTGGATGGATAGTTCCAGGATATAGATCCTAGGGAGCTTAATTGTTCTAAATTAAGTTGTAACCTTTAGAAATAATAACATATATTAACATCCTGCAGAGATGACCACGTCGTTTAATAAACTATTGAATACCATAGCCTCAGCAGTGATATTGTGTGGAAAGTACTGTACAAACAATGCAAGATCCAATCAGAATAAAATTTCCTGCCTGAGCAGGGGGTTGGAATAGAAGACATCCAAGATCCCTTCCAACTCTGTTAATTTTAAATGTCACATTGACAAATTACGATTATAATCTGGTAAATTATTATACAGTAATCTTTCTGGTCACAGAAAACTGCATCCGCAAAACTATGCAACCAGTGCAGCTTAGCAATGCTGAATTTCTACTGTTTATAAGGTCATGGATTTGTTGGTGGGTTTTTGCTTGGTGTCTTGCATTTTTTAGGGATTGTCAAAGCAATTTTAGACAAAAGCATGGCTGGACTTACTTCCGGGTGAGAATAGAATTGCAGACTAAATCCCTCCCTCTCCCTATTCAATCCTCGATGAAGAGTCGGGACGCTCTGCCTTAGGACAAATATTTAATTCGAGGGGAACTCGGAACAAAACGAGGCCAAAGGCACCGCAACCCTTTCCTTCTGTAATCGAGAGTAAACTTCTAAAAATTCAACCTGGATTTACCTGCCTGTATTATACAACGCCTAGTCTAATCACCCCTCCCTGCAGAGCTTCTCTCGAACACGCTTTGAGAAACGGACGCGGTTTCTGTCTGACTTCGGTGGGGTTTTCGCGGACGGAATTTTACGAAAGCCGTTGGTTGAAAGCAAAAATAGGCTAGCCATCCCACATACTGGCCTCAACTACGCCTGCCAATATTTCACATCGGCTAGAGAGGATGAATGCGGTCGACCCCCGAGCCCAAGGCCAACAGAACTACCCCGCCAAGATCGTCCACACTTGGTTCCCAGCATGCAAGCGATCTTCCTAGAGCGGCCGAGGCTTCCGCCCAACTCCGGAGGCTTTCCTTCACTGGAGCAACAGCGGCAAAATGGCGGCCAAGGCGCCAAATACAAATGTTTGAATGCTCGGTGAGGGCTAACGCTGTCTCTGGCCGACGTTACGGATGGTGAGGCCATGGACGCCTCGGCGTGTATGAAGTCTCTGCTCTTGGCGGCTTCTCAGTACCGAGCTGCTCGCACCCAGCCCAACGCAGCGCTGCTCCAGCGGAGTTTAGAGGTGAGAGACAGTCTCGATAGACCACCCGTTTTAAAGCTTTCTTTTTTTTCCCCTTTTCCTCCCACTTTCGGATATTTTGTAGTAGAAATAGGTAGAGAATTAAGGCGCGTTCAAATAACTGGCCTGCTGCTGCCTCAGCGATAACGAAACATTTCCGTGACAATTCCCCCTAGTATTGCTTCGTTTTTGCGAACAGTTCAAAGATATGCAGAAGATCCATATATAAACCAAGTGGATAAGGGCTAATATGTTATGTCCTGATCGCTCCTAGAGCAAAGACCTCAAGTAATCGTTGAAGAATTGAATGTAAGACGCAGTCCTCAACTGATTCTCGGCCCTTTATGTAGGTAGCTCCTGCCATTATTTTGTTTTGGCAGGAGCACATGTCAGCCTCTACCGGAACAGGCAAAGAAGCCACTCCCAAAACCGTTTAAGGACGTGGCCCTGCTCTACGGCTGTTGGCCTGTCAGGGCTACTGTGATTCATGCACCTGAGCCACCTACACTGATATTTATCTTTTGGCGGTAGGAAAGTCGGGGTGGTGGTGGTAGTGGTTCCCCTTGTGCCAGAAAGCCATTGCTCCCGCTTTTCTTTTCTTTTTAATTTTGTCAAGCGATTATTAGATAACAGGTACAGGTGAAACTCGAAAAATTAGAATATTGTGCAAAAGTTCATTTATTTCAGTAATGCAACTTAAAAGGTGAAACTAATATATGAGATAGACTCAAAACATACAAACCAAGATAGTTCAAGCCATGATGTGTCCTAATTGAGATGATTATGGCTTACAGCTCATGAAAACCCCAAATCCACGATCTCAGAAAATTAGAATATTCTAGGCTCAAAGTGTCCCACTCTAATCAGCTAATTAAGCCATAACACCTGCAAAGGGTTCCCGAGCCTTTAAATGGTCTCTCAGTCAGGTTCAGTAGGAATCACAATAATGGGAAAGACTGCTGACCTGACAGTTGTGCAGAAAACCATCATTGACACCCTCCATAAGGAGGGAAAGCCTCAAAAGGCAATTGCAAAAGAAGTTGGATGTTCCCAAAGTGCTGTATCAAAGCACATTAATAGAAAGTTATGTGGAAGGGAAAAGTGTGGAAGAAAAAGGTGCACAAGCAGCAGGGATG